TGTTCTCATCCTGAAGCAAAGTTCTTAACCTGAGGTACTATTCCTGGGTTAGCAGAGTCTGTAACCTGAAGCGTCTGTAACCTGAAGCGTCTGTAACCTGAGGTACCACTGTATTTGTGTGCACTCATCGCAGAGGGTCTCTGTATGCCTGCAGAGAGCTCGACAGGGGCAAATCTGCCCCTTGCGATATTTCCACAAGCAGTAAGCCCCAAAACAAGGCATTCTAGTGCAGGTTGCCAGATGGTCATGCATCTGCTGGAGCCAAAGCTTCTTTATTTCACACATGAGGCCCCAGGATCAGGCCCATCAACTATATTAAGGCTGGAGCTTACGTAGCTAATTTGTGCCCATTGGTTTCAACAGGAGTGGATTTCAGAATGCAAAGATCTGCTCCCGGGAAACAAGCCAGCAGGGATTTGGAGTGGCGGATCATCCATCACTTCACTCCCTCCTCACTTTATTATGGGTTCGCCCATAAACGTCCAAAGGGCAATTCATGTCTCTCTCCTATGGGGAGATGTAGGGCTCCAGAGGCATGAGGAACATATGCAACTCTTGCAGAGCAGAATAATACTGTGGCCTGCCACCCCAATCTCTGAGTGGTTGAAGGAGCCAGGCAAGTTTCTTGGTGAGTAAATGGCCCTAAGTATGTTAAACTTTTGCAAAGAGGCAGGAGCCATGACGCTTTGCAAAGGCTTTACATTCTTCATTTGCCTTTTGGGGGCAAGGGAGAATTATTTAACGTCCCCCAAGGGTGCCAACTTGAATAAAATATTGGGGGGTGGCAGGCAAGCCCTTCCCTGCATAATGGATCACAAGATGCGATCACTCACGGACGCTATTTGAGTGGCAATGCCCATGAACTTTGGGGACCTCCAGCCCCCTCAAATAATCTATGGGGCCTTGGCCCCTAGGAGGTGGCTCCTATGAAATCCACTCACATAATTGGGGTGTATGGGGCGTTAGGGGAGGGGTAGTGCCTCTGGTAGGGGACGTCATGCTCCTTCTAGGGTAGTTTCCCCACCATTGGCCACCACCCTGCACTGAGCCCTCACCGGTGGCTCCTAGAAACTGTTAGCATGTGACTTCGACCACATTCTGGGAAAGGCTTCGACTGGCTGGCTGAACCAGGTGAGTGGAGCTGATGGGTCTCAAGCCATTAGTGAGTTAGGGACTTCTCCTATATGCAAAGACAGGCTCTAGCGGATTGTGTGGATGAGACCACTAGTGGGTCCAACGGCCAAGAAGGTGGCTTCTGCACATCTTGTAGAGGGAAGTGAGAGGCAGATGGGGCTCGTCAACCTGGGAAGGTAGCCCATCCAGGACAAGGAAAACTCTGACCCTAAACCTCTGCTGCCTTGTGGGATATCTTTGGGAGAAGAGAAGGCTAAGGAATAAACCCTACACAAATCCAGAGTGGAGTCCCTAAGATGGTTGGATGGTGCCTTATGCAACTTCTGGCGACTTCTTCAGCCAAGCTGGTGCCAAACGTATTGCTCTGCTTTCCTTTGGACCACATCAGTGATGTGTCAACTAGCAGAAGAAGGTGAACATGCTGCTGAGACATCCAGGTCTTTTGCTGCTTCTGGGCCCTGGGAATAACCTATGAAGGGGCCCTTTGTGTGGAAAGCACAAACTATTGGTAATATGCTTTGTCACTTTGAAAACTTCCAACTGTTTAGCCTGGCAAAGAGCCCCTCTTCCTACGCCAGTAATGGTGCATTAGCTTCTAAGAAAAGGGCCAAATGAGCAGCCAATTAAAGCTCTTAGTGCCAACAAAGGTTAAATCAACAACAGAGAGCAACACAGTTTGACTGAAGTGTTATGAAAGGCATAATGAAAGCTAGAAGGAGACTCCGAGCCCAGCTCTCTCCATTTCTAATATTCACCATCCAAAAGGGACATACGATCAAAACGGAATCTATTTTAATAGCATGAATAAACATTCTGTAACTGGCACAGGAACAGACAGGAAGTGGCATCAGACCCTATTTTCCAGGGACAATCTTGGATTTACAGAAGCCATCCTGGTTTCTGGTTTGATCCCATAATGTCCCGCTTTTCCTTAGAATGTCCCTATTTTCATCAGAGAAATGTTGAAGGGTATTAATTCTGAGTCGGAGCATTGCTCCCTCAATATTGCTCAAACTGATTGGCAGCAGCTCCTACATTTGTGGTTTTTGCTTACTAGCAACGGAGGGGAGTGTGGGGACTTGCATTCTCCGCCCAGGGAAGCAAGAAGTTCGGTGACACATTACAGTGATGGAAAAACAGCTAGGGAGCTTGCAAGGTGGGAGTGTGGTGTGGCAAAAGCCCCTAGGCCAGCGGTTCTCAACCTGTGGTCCCCAGATGTTGTTGGACTACAACTCCCATCATCCCTGACCACTGGTCATGCTGGCTAGGAATGTTGGGAGTTGTAGTCCAACCCACAGGTTGAGAAACACTGCCCTAGGGCAAGACAGAAGGGTTTGGAGAGCCAGCATTGGCCTCAATTCCATTACCCATGATACCTTCACTACCACCAATATTAAAAGTTTTATTTATTTATTATTTATTGCATTTATATACCATTTTTCTTCCAAGGAGCTCAAGGTGGTGGACATGGTTCCCTTCCCTCCCCATTTAATCCTCGTAACAACCCTGTGAGGTTAGGTTAGGCTAAAGCAGGGGTCTGCAACCCGTGGCTCCGGAGCCGCATGTGGCTCTTTTACACCTTTTCCCGCGGCTCCGGGGCAGATACTAGCAAGGGGAGGAGGCGCATTGTGCGCCCCGACACTCCCCACTGTGGCGGGCGCTGTACTGGCTGTGACGTCGCATGGGGGCGGTGCGTGTGTTAGTCACGCACCGTCCCGACGTCACCTTCCCGCCCGCTGTCAGATCGTGGCTCCGGAGATATATTTGTTTTAAATGTCGCAATGGTTTTGCGGCTCCCAGTTTTCTTTCCCTTTGGAAACGGGTCCAAGTGGCTCTTTTTGTCTTAAAGGTTGCAGACCCCTGGGCTAAAGGATGGTGACTGGCCCAAGGTCACCCAATGAAATTCATGGCTGAGTGGGGATTCAAACCCTGGTCTCCCATGTCCTAGTCCAACACTCTAACCATTACACCACACTGGCTTAATGCAACCAGCTGTGACAATAAGCAGCAAGAGGTCTCTTAAAAACCTGCCCAGGTCAGCCTGTAGCATTCTTGGCACACCAAGCTGAGCAGAAAATGTGCAGCAACTTTACAGAAAACGATAGGATAATCCGTATTGTGGCTTGCCCCAACAGGTAACACAGAGAAGGTGTTTATTAGAATACTGTACTGGTTTTCACACTGTGTTCCAGGTTCCTTCATCAGTGGAAAGATCAGTAATGGTAGAACGGCTTTACTGAAAGGCAGCTTGCCCAGCGACAACAACAAACTCCCTCTGAAATGCACAAGGCTGGGTGCCTTCTAAGGACACACTCAGTTCATGTTAAGGTGACAGCAAAAATCCAAGGACAGGAGTGGGAAGATGTCAAGCTTGCAGCACCCCCATCTTGTCTTTTTACTTGACCCCCAAAATCTTCCAGCCAGAGTAAGGTGCAAAATACAGAAAGAGGAGGACTTGCAATACGGAATTAACGAAAAGGGTGCCTTTTTGTATTCAATACCAGAACTAGGGCTAAAGGAGAAATTCAACTCAGTTGACATTTAAAGTTGAAGCTAGCAAATCTGCACGTTCCAAAAGCAACACATGAACACAGCCATCTTTCAAAATTTGCGCTTCTTTAAATTTTGCAATGCTGTTCCCCAGCCAAGCAGCGTGTAGGAAAAGTGTGTACACCGGGGTAAAGTATGCATTAAAAAATCACAGAGAATATGCAAAAAAATGCATTATATTAGGGAAAATAATATTTGCATATAGTTTGGTAATAGCATTAAGATGCTAATGGATTTTCATGTGGAATTTTAAAAAATATTGCAAAGTGATGTGGAAATGTGGAAAACTAAACATAAGATGGCAAAATGAGAGAAATCCAAATTCACCCACCCCTAAGCAGAACTGACTTCACAGCTTCTCATTTCTTCGTTTTAACAATCTAGTTTAGGATTAGATGGGAGCCTTACTATCGTTTCTTTTGTTGTTGCTGTTTTTTCTCACACAATCATGAATCAGAAACCCTTGCTGAGAATCTACCACTTGCCCAGAATCTACCACTAGATCCCACCCTACCTCCTTTCCATCCTGTCTCAGAGCTCTTTGCAATATTCAAAGTTTCCTCAGCAGATTTCCCCGGGGTTTCTTGGTACCAAAGTCATGGTAGTAAAAGGCTCTCTAGAGCTAGAAAAAGATGAAAGCCATGGAGTCAGTCTGCTACCTCAGTAATCTGCTGCTAGTAGCCAATGCAGAGCCCAAGAGAAGTTCACAATAAGGGCAAGTCAGTTATATTCACCAGCAGTTCCCAGCAGTTGCTAGTTAGAAGCAGATGTCTCCCAGAAAGGATGCTGAACACATGGCTATCAGAGTCCAGTTCACAGATGGAAATGTACCCTATTTCAGATGTTTCCCTACCTTATTGTAACTGTGTGGAGAAGAACGACAGAGCCCCACCAGCCCCACAGCGCTCTCTCTCTCTCCTCTCCACTCCACTCCCCACCTGCACCCACAATTTAGGGAAATGCTGGTAAAGGGAAGGCTGCAGTATATGTAGGTTTAGAACAACCTCATTTGTGCTTGACATGTTTTGAGCAGTGCTGTTCCCCAGGGGCAATAGCAAGTTTTTGGTTTTCAATCAAGGGAAAGTCCACCATCCTCAAGCCAACATTTTCAAGAACTTTTTCAACACGCTGGAGGTTCATCTTTTTTGTTTTGTTTACAGTGGTGCTTCTCTGTCTCTCCCCTGGTTAAGAAAAAAAAAATTACTCCAGAACATTCTACAGTATTCTAGAAGGCAGGCCACAAAAGCAGTAAACTGAACCAACAGAAGGAAATATCAAATCACATCTGTATGATATACTTAAGATGTATTATTTACCTTGGCAGCAGGCAGCTGAGACTTCTTTTCTCCAACTTTCCCCCAGTTGCCTCAAAATCCTCTACGCTCCTTCTTTATCAGGACCAGCCCTACTAATAGACAGCGTGAGGTAAGGGGGGTGGGCAGGGGAAACTGCATGTCCTGAGCCCCCTGACTCATATTCATCTGTTGGAGGACAGAGCTGTATGTGGCCTGTTGCCCTCAGGCACAATGGAGCACATTGCCAGTACTGAAGTAGGTTTTACTGCTGTTCCAAACGGCTTCTGTATGTGGAACAGTGGTGGCTGCCATCTTGTCCTTCACCTCAGGCAGCAAACTGCCTTGAGACAGCCCTAGTCTTTATACAGGCATCATATGCATCCAAGAGGTTTGTGCAATAGCACTTTGGCCCCTCCTTTGCCTCTAACACCAGCCCAGGTCTCTGTGGAAGCTGTTGATCAGTTCCACCTGGAACTGAGGTGGAATGTACCAAGTGGTGGTTCAGCAAGGGGGGGGGACTCATCCATGAGTCATTCTTCATCCATGACACAAATATATAGATGAGAATTGCACTCTAATACTGTCAAATGTTACGTCCCCCACTACACATTTAAAGCACATTTGTATCACTTTAACAGCCATTTCCCTGATTAATTTTTTAGGTCCGTAGGGCCATTGTTTTTTATTTCCCTGATTAATTCTTTGGGTCCGTAGGACCATTGTTGGCAATGCTTTCACCAGTGCAATCCTACATAGGCTACTCAGAAGTAAGTCCCACAGAATCAATTGAGACTTGTCAGTACAGAATTGCATCCTAATTGCAGCTGCAGTTGTATACCCTGGTACTTGGGAGTAATACTGTATCTGGTTACTTGGAAGTAAACTTACTTCTCTCTCTTTGTGTGTGTGTGTGTGTATGAATGACAGTGCTGGCAAGGTGCAAATGCATGAATCCTAATTGGCTTCCTTGGCTTAGCAAAAAGCAGTAACTTTTGGTTTTAGCTATTTCTTTTAGATTTCAAGTATTACTGTATACAGCATTTGCAGAGGCTGCCTAATAACAGCATTCCTTGGGTGGTGGTATGTTTCAGTCACTACAGTAGGAGCCTGGAGTCAGTTTCCAGGATCACAGGTACACGATGCACAAAAGTATATCAAAGCTGTTATTTCCAGGGAGAAATTAAATTGGGTGTTTCTGCAAAGAGCAAGCTCTTGTGTGCTTCAGCATCTTTCAGGATTTCCAGGCCTCAGGGGACAATTATATATAATTTTTCTGAAGCTGAGTAATCTGCACTGTGTGCTTATGTCTTTGCAGAAAGGAAAGGTAACATGTTGTAACTCATAGCTTGTGAGGAAAAAAGCAACAACACTGTGTGTAATTTGGGTACTGATTGACCTGTTCATCCAATGTTTCTTTTTGAACCGGCACCTACTGTAAGGGAATGCGCTAGCCAGTGACGGCATGGCTGACAATAAGAAAAGGGGTGGAGAAGACTCAGGGTGGTTAATGAAGACAATTGCCTATAAATAGAACAAGCTTTGTTCAACATACTTTGGAAACATCATCTGGCAGACAGATTTATTGTTGTTGATGGATTTCTTCTTTTCTGACTTACAGTGGTACCTTGGGTTAAATACTTAATTCGTTCCGGAGGTCCGTTCTTAACCCGAAACTGTTCTTAACCTGAAGCACCACTTTAGCTAATGGGGCCTCCTGCTGCCGCCGTGCCGTCGGAGCACGATTTCTGTTCTCATCCTGAAGCAAAGTTCTTAACCCGAGGTACTATTTCTGGGTTAGCGGAGTCTGTAACCTGAAGCGTATGTAACCTGAGGCGTATGTAACCCATGGTACCACTGTATTTGGAATGGAGAGAAGTCTAACATTGCTCTACTTTCTCATCAATTTGCTAGCTTCTGGACTTTCCCAGTGAGAAAATATGAGCATTTTAGTTTTCCTTTATCTGTTTTGCAATGTGGTGGAAAGGATGCAAGTTATTTTCTGCAGACAGCCACTCCAGGCAGGTAGACCTGGAAGGCCTACGAGGACAGGCATGGGTTTGCCCAGCACTCCCGGAGGGGAAATGGATGAGCAACGCCCTCAAGCTTTACTTACAGGGAAGAGTCATAGCTCAGTGGTAGAGGCTTGGCTTTTCATGCAGAAGCTTCAGTCCCTGGCATCTCAAGTTAGGGCTGTGAGAGGCTCCTGCCTGAAATCCTGGAGAGCTGCTGCCAGTCAGTGTAGACAATATTCAGCTAAATGAACCAAAGGTCTGACTCAATATAAGGCAGCTTTCTATATACTGGTGTTTCTAAAGCTGCAATGCCTATTTTAGGCTGCAAACCTAAACCCACTAACTTGGAAACGAGCATCACTCAACCACTGAGTGAATGTAGTGCCAGAGGCAGTATGCTTACGAGTACCAGACACTGGGAATCAGAAGTGAGGCGAGAGATGTAACATTCCTGTCCTGCTTGCAAGGCTTCCCATAGGCATCGGGTTGGATCAGTCCTGCTGAATCAGATTAAAGGTCAGCCTCCTGTTCTCACAATGACCAACCAGATGTCTAGGCGTGTTCACTGTTCAGTGGCGTAGCGTGGGGGGTGCAGGGGGGGCCGGCCGCACCGGGCGCAACATCTGGGGGGGGGGCGCTCGCACTCACAGCTCTCTGCCCCTACCTGGTTAGGGGGCGCAAATTACTTGCCTTGCCCCGGGTGCTGACAACCCACGCTACGCCACTGTCACTGTTAACTTGATCATCAGGAAAAGGTCTTGGTATGTGGGCATGGGTAGGCTGCATTTGTGGACAGCTGCTTAGTATTTTTTGGGGGGGGGAGGGGGGAGAACAAAGATATAAATTCTTATTCTTTATGCTGATCTGTAGATGCAGAAGGAAATGTGTATTCTACTTGTGGCCACATCATTTGCCCATCCACACCAACCCATGCATAGGTCCATTAAAGCATTGCATCTGCTGCACTCAGGTACTTTGGGATGAGGGCCGTTATGAGATTAGCAAGACTTTCCTGGAAGTGGGACCTAGTCCTTTTATGGAGCACCATTCGCTAAAAGGTTTCGTTGCTTTTCGTTTACTGAGTTTGCAAACTTTTCGTATTTGGTTTTATTTTTCCGAGCACCGCTTTGGTAACTTTTGGTTGCGAAGCCCTTTTGAAAAACTGCAAATGAGTAGATAAATTTTGAAGAAGTGAAATGAAGTCAGCGAAGCAACAGCTTTAAGCGGGAGATTATTCTGAGCCCTGTCTTATTCTGTTTGCCAGCAGGACTTTTTAAGGTTCAAAGGACAGCAAGGGCCTGTAATCCCCTTTTTATCTGCTGGATGGAAGCTGAGAGGATTCTTTCTTTGGCTTTTCAAAACCTCCCTTCAAAGTTTTATCGCAGGCCCTGGACAAATGATGCCTTTGAACTTTTTTGGGGGATGCCTTGACACTAATCAGCTCCGTCAAATTGAACGTTATCTCTGTTCTCATCCCTTTGAATTTGGTATGATTGTAATGAAGTGTTCTTGAAATGAGAGAGAATTTGTCTCAGAGCCTTCACATTCTGTTCACACATTCGCCAGGCGAGAAGGCTGCTCAGTTTTAAATGTGACTCTGTTTAACTGTTGCTCAATCAGGAAAGGAGGGGGTGATGCTTTTAAAAAGGCAATAGCCCAATATTGAGAAGGGTAAAAAATGTTTCTGAACTTGTCATTAAGTCAAGTAATTGCATTCTGCACAGTCAAACCCCACCGTCCTCAGTTTCACATACTCATGGAAGTCTGCACTTTGTGGTGCAGCATAAGACGATGCAGCAGGATAGCTCAGTCAGTAGAGCATGAGACTCTTAATCTCAGGGTTGTGGGTTCGAACCCCACATTGGGCAAAGAGATCCCGGAATGGCAGGGGGTTGGACGAGATGACCCTCATGGTCCCTTCCAACTCCACAATTCCATGTTTCTAAGATCAACCCTGCTGGATCAAGCCAAGGGCCCAAGTCATCCAACATGCTGTTCTTCTGGGATTGTGCCCTTGAAGTCACTCAGTTGGTTTTTAAAACAATTTTTAAACTTAGTTTATTTAAAAAAAAATCAAATTACAATTTTAAAAATTACAATTAAAAAACCCACAACCAGAAAATAATAATAATAATAATAATAATAATAAATTTTATTTATATCCCGCCCTCCCCTGCCGAAGCTGGGCTCAGGGCGGCTAACAACAATCAAATAACCAAATAGTTGAATAATCACACATTCTAAAATATTTCATTATAAAAATTAATTAAAATCAAATTGATGGCAACCAAAATACTGTGCAGGTTGCCAGAGGAGGGAGTCAGGCTGCGCCCTGACCAAAGGCCTGGTGGAACAACTCTGTCTTGCAGGCCCTGCGGAAAGATGTCAGGTCCCGTAGGGCCCTAGTCTCTTGTGACAGAGCATTCCACCAGATTGGAGCCGCAGCCGAGAAGGCCCTGGCTCTAGTTGAGGCCAGCCTAACCTCTCTGAGGCCTGGGACCTTGAGAGTGGGGCTTTTAAATATACATCTCAGGTGTGAAAGGCCAGGCTAAAGAGGAGCATCTTCAACATTTGCCCAAAACTGTATATTGAAGTTGCCTGTGTGAAGGGAGTGCTACAACTTAGGGGCTGCCACAGAGAATGCCCTCTCCCAGGACGACTACCCAGCTTCTGAGGGCAGTGGAACCACCAAGAGCTGAAAAGGCCTGAGGAGACGTAGTTTTTTCAGATAGTTGTGACCTGAGTCATTCAGGGCCCTAATACAAGCACCTTGAACTGGGCCCAGCAGTGCACATTCCCTTTTGTTAGAATAACTTCCCTTCCCATCAACCCGCCCACCTTGTGTTATCAAAACCAAATTACAGGGAAATCTTAACATTACTCCCGCTGGAGAAATGATGTCACTTACCCTGATCCTTAGTATGCCCTCAATCAGCTCTCCCTGTCAGTACACTATTATGGAACATTTCCTCTAATCCCATCATTTACTGCTGATGTGAATCACAGCAGGACTGCTGGCAAATCCACCTGCAGCCCTTTTCATTCTATTTCTATTTCATTCTATAGATGGGGCTGCCTTGCAGGACACAATCAAAGGAGCTCCTGTGTGCTGCAAGGGCCAAGGACGGTGTGCCAGCAACACTCATGCCTAAAGCAAGTATGGATTAAATTGCACCCTGCTAACACAGTGTGCACATTGTGCTCCTTTGTTATGCAAGTTATACCAGTCGCATTCTCTTGCAGAGGGCATGCACTAGCTCAAATAAGGGGTCTTTGTTTTTTCTCCCCCCTTAAAAAATAAAAAACCCTCAAACAGTGACTGAATTGGAATGTGCTTCAGGTTGTAATCTAAACCTCTAGTCATAAGGCTCAGAGAGGAGGCGAGAGGATTAATTTAATCTACATGAGAT